CAGAATACCGGAAAACATCTTAGTCTGTACCCCGAGTTATGGGCTTTGTACCACTGAATCACTTTGTACCCACTTGTACCCCCCGAATTGTTGTACCCTCCAAATTATGTGCCAACTCATTAAGAAACAATAGACAACGATGAGATACAGTCTGAAAATGGAAGTATTTTGAGGTTACAGTTGTTGTCGCCGTGGGACTTTCGATTTTTTGTACCAGAATAAAGATCAACCAATTTAATAAAAAGCCAAGATGTATGTTCGCAAGAACTGTAACACTTGGTACACCTCTAATTTTTTATTATTCCAAAAACAAAATATCGTAAACAAACACATATTTTCAAGATTTACCAGATTACTGAAATCACTAATTATCTCTGAAAAACAACGATCTTTTTTTGTCGCCGAACGAGCATTTCCTGTTTCAAAATTATCCGCTTTTGACCTAATTCATCAAATACTTGTGGATACGTCTAAGTGTTTGAAACGATGCGACACTTGCTCTAGGGGATTGCCGACGTCCAAAACGACGATTTGTCATCTGGAGTCAACTGGCATAATCTGCTACTGGTGGCAGTTTTTGTTGTGTGTCCATGCTTCGGACCACTCATATTTTCACGTGTGTAGTAGTTGTGTAGTAAGAAGCAAAGCACGCCAATAAATTAGGAACTATTCTTTTCACTTCTCTCTTTTTGTCTTAATCCACAAGTTCCCCTTGTTCCAAAACAATTGCAATGACATAAGAGGGTCCCTTCTTGCGGCTCTAATCACCACTACTCACGGAGCATTTCGTTCTCTATTTTTGCTCAAAAGACCGAGATGCGTACTTTAACACGACCAATTGAGTAGTACTGCAAGATTGCTCTAATTCCATTAGACCACATCGCCACACTGACCCATCTGGGGCACGGTTACTTTTTCCTACAAATAGGTTTTTCATTTCTTTGCAATCCACCCACTAATAGTCTGTTAACCAACACACGGGCTCTCGCCAGCCAATTTCATTGGCGCGAACCTATTTCGAAAACTTTATGCAGAATGTTGCGGGAATTCTATCTTCATTCCATTTCTCCTTGTGTCAACTTCTAGGAAAAATTCACCGCCGTTTTCTCCTATGTCAACCTTCTTTCGAGTTTTTTGTGCTTCTACGAAGGTCCTTCGCTCGATTTTTGCATGTATTTGTCTCCGTCCGTCCGCGCTCCTCCCTTCTTCCTTTTTTGTGCTCTCGAAGATTTGGCTTTGTTCTTCAAAATATTCTACAAGGAAAGAAGAAGAAAAAAGATAGATGAAGCCTCGGCATCGCGTAAGAATTTTTTGGTCCTCTCACTCTCCGCCGCTTATTGGCTTTAGTCCCCACCCCAATGCCACACCACCGACAGGATCATATTTCTGAAAGCAATTATCTACTTTAGAAACGATCTCATGGCATCCATGGCTTCTTTTGTTACTCACTATCTTTTCGATACGTCTTCTTTCATCAGAAGAAGTATATAGTTTTTGATGGAAAATCGTGTAATTAACTGAAATTATCATGAAAAAAAAATTGTTGTCTGTGTAGCCCACGCGTTTTCCGTCTCCGTGAAATTCAGGAAACCGATTTTTTTTCATTTTCCGAATTTTGAAGATGATTCTTCAGTACGTGGACTCGTTTTGTAAACATTGCCAACTTGGGAGTTCTGAAAAAACAGTTCAGGATCGTTCAATTTTCTGAAAATTTCAAAGTATATTTAACACAAATAGAGCTTTATTTTAAGAGTTGGCAACGTTTTTGTCAGATTGTATTCTAATGATATATGTCGTTTTTAACCAAAGACGTGCCAAGAAAACCATATTAAGCCAAGAAAACCATAACAATGAAATTATAGTCGCTTCACTTTTCCTGTTCAGCTCATCTCTTTTGATGGAATTTTCACATCAAAGTTGTCGATTACCAAATTGAAGCTCTATTCCTGTTTAGCAAGCTCTGAAAATTCCAGAAAAATCGAAAAATTCTAGACTACTTTTTTGGGACATCAAAGTTGATTATTCTACTAAATGGTCTAAATATGATTTCGTCGAGTACTGTATCATAATATGATGTTCTGATCTAATCAAGACGCCGATTTTCTCATTTTTCACGTTTTCGTGTCGTTTTTGCTCATATTTTGTGTTCTTGCAATGTTATTGTTGGCCGATCTAATTATTCAAACGCACTCTATCTCTCTTCTTCGCCCGTGTTAGGTTCTTTAAACGAAATGCAAATTTGAGTGCGTGTAAGACAGACCAGGCGGCTGCTGCACAGTCTGACAAATGTTCATTCTTGCCTTCTTACCATCTCCAAGGCCTTCATACCATTGTTTGTGTCATTCGCAACATTTTTACTCTTCTCAAAATGGCATAAACTCGCTCGACGTGCTTTAAAGCTACAACTGATAACACGGTTCGTGTCATGCTCCCAAAAATGTTGCAGAAAAATTTTATTGTTCCGAAAGAAATAAACAGTATTCCTTAGTTTTCATAGTCATTTTTCTCTGCCACGACTCTCTTTTTGTGTTCCGCTATTTCCTTCTTTGCCTTACGGACACATCAAATTTTTATGTTACCTGTTCACGGAGCCACAAGATGGGACAAACTGCAAGAACTATATAGTTTTAGCATATTGATTTTTTGTTTTTGTGTTTGTTGTTCACATTATCTGGTTTTTATGGTTACACGTTATCTGGTTTTTATGGTTTTTTTAAGGCTTTCCTATTAATTTCAATGAACCGTAGACATTTACATCTTTTTAGACGAAACGCAAACAAACATGAAATTTTGGGTGAACTTTTCTTCGAGTCTCTATTCAAATGTAAGACACGAAATTGACAACGTGTTTTTCTTTCCATTTTTCTTCTCTCACAACTGTTGTTCTTACCTTCTCACATCACCTTTACGCCCCAATAAAAGTACGGCCTAGGTGGTAAAATTGAGAATAGGAATTACGTGTTTTCTCATTTCTTTTCTTATCTTCCTGTGATCGGATAGAAAGAAATAGTTTATTTTAGTATTGTCACCATATGTTTCATACCTTGTTTAGATCTTATCGCGAGGTTTTCTTACCACTGGTAGTGTCACCTTTTGAAAAATTTGAATCTTAAAATTGTTCTACGTGCTAATTTCAAAATATTTTCTGAACCAAATAAACCAAAATTTGAACCGAAATTCCTGGAAAAGTGCAATTCTTCTTTTCACTGGTCCCTTCTTTTCATTTTGATTAACCATCCTGAATAACAAGGTCTTTCCTTTCCTTCCCTATTTCTTTGCCCAGAGCACAAACTCCTCAACAGAGAGTACAAGTAAACTTGAGTTTCTTCTCCTTCTTCTCCTTTTTTGTTCGTCCTTCGTTTCCACTCATTCCTCAAATTAGATTTGACAAATAGAGATGACGAAGAACTTTATCGCAACAGGCGGATACCTTCAGGTTCTCAATCTTGTTTGCCGTTTATCGGTTCCATCTTTTTTTGCCCCTCTTTCGTCTTCTATGGAGTTGCCGCATCGGAAACCAACCGCTAACCGCGAATTGTTTAGAAGGGTCAAGTTCAATATTCCTCACCACCGTCACTGCATAAACATAAGCATCACCTTCTCTTCCCTAATTAAATTTATAACGTTGAAGTGTCTGTCTCCCGTCGTGGTGTAGGTCCGTTTTACTTCGGAAATGTATACAAATTTTTGGATATGCTCCCATCAAACGGTCCGACGAACTTCGTCGTCTGCAGTGATATTCCTGCTTTTCTTCGCCAATCGTTTTTAAGTTAGAAGTTGAGCAAACATCATAGCACGTTTTTTACCTTTCTGGTCCGAGTTTTTTTCTTTTTTTCATTGACTTCTCATCTTTGTATGAAATTTTGAACGGCTTAAAATAGTTCAAAAAACTTCTGATTTTTAGTATTACATTTACCGTAAAGGAACTGATAGAAGGCCACCCAATTTAATTAATTTGTTTATTGATCAGGTGTAATAAAACATTAGAGGGCAGGACATGAAAGACTCAGAAAAAATGCCCCTCACGAGGCCGATCTGAGTAGGGGAGGGGAAACGGGATAATTTAGATATTTGACACAGGAAAGATGTAACCGGTAGAAAAAGAAAAATAGGAGAGCAAATATATCAATAACGGGTAATACTGGAAGAAATTAAGGATTCAAACTCGGAAGGTAGGAGAAATCGGGTAACTTGGGAAGTGATGGCGTTCCACAGGGGAACAATTGAAAAAAAATAGTCAGAGGAGTAGGGCTGAACAATAATTTAGTTCATAGGGCGACGAGGGGAGGAGGAGTATTTGACATGTGCATTTAGGTTAGGAAAGTAGGCGGAGCCATTTAAAAATTTATAGAGAAGAATTAGTTGAGCTTTTAGCCTACGATGTCGAATGGAGAACATATTGAGGATAGAGAGACGATCAGAATAGGAACTGTACTGGATATTACAACGCACTTTCAGCTCAATTATCTGAATTTCTATTGGAGGTAACAAAAAGCTGTAACTAATAAAACGTTTTTCATAAAATCATAAACATTTCATCAGTTGACAAATTTTCGACATTTATCACAGATACCCAAATAATGAAGCTCTTAGTTGACGGTTTAGATAGGCTCCTATTAGAGGAAATACGTTCTGTAAATGAGAAATAATTTGGGCATTATTGTGATCCTCCTCTAATAACTGTTTTCAAAATTTGTCTTTTAAAATTCATACTTCTCAAACTCAAGTTTTTGTTTTCTGTCAGTTTGTTTTTCCAAACATTTGAAATGTTGAAAATCTAACATATTCGCCCTTCGAGCTCAATTATCTTGTTTTCTATGAGAGATATTGAAATATGTCAACTGATAAAATGATCGTCACTTTATCACTGATATTTTTATTATTTGCAGGTTTTGATATCTTATTCAGAAATTGAAAACATTCAGCTCGTAATTTCACTCAATTTTCTTGAAAGTTTACAGATGTATGGCCAAAAAAGCAAAGAAAGGGAGCGTCCCTATCTTCGAGATCCGGACGATCCAGAATACATCAAGGAGCTTCAACGGCCAGCGGTAATCAAAGTAAGTGAATCCATTCCAATTTCAATTTATACGATTGAATTTTGAGAGCAATTTCTCGACCTTTTCTCCTCTTCTTTTTTTCTCCAATTAAATGGAGAACTTCATTATTGAGAAAGGCTCTCTCGCTTGCTTCAATGTAGTTTTTTTTTTGAAAAGAGCTGTCAAAGTGAATAGAAGGGAAGTGGAAAGAAGAAAAGAAAAATACGACGAGTGCTCTCTAATCAGCTTAAAAGATGAGATGAGAGCTACGCAATTTTCAGGAGGATTTGTCAGAGATGGAGAGACGAAAAAGGGTGCAACAGATACTCGAATCAAAATCATTCTGCCACGAGTTGGAGGAGGTTATTCGCCAGGTTGGTGCTCCTCCTTTTTTAGGAGATTTTCTAAAGAAATTCATTTTCTAGGAGTGTGACACGGCTAAAACCGATCCCGACCATTTGCAAGTGCTCCAGAAGCTAGCAGATCTTACCGTCCCTCAGGGAAACATGTCATTTGGCAATCTACACACATACGGTTTGTACTTTTGAAACTAGAGAAAAAGATTGATTTACGATCACGCAGGGTGTTCCCATATAGAATGTGCCAAATGATTTATGCGCATCGCCTAGGGAATGGATCTATTTTTTACTTCCTTTCTTTTATGGGAACCAAAAAGAAAAAAATCTAGGGAAAAAAGTTTGAGGAATCAGAAGCGGGGGACAACACCACACCCTATCATTAATCAACGTGCGAATGGGTTAGTGTCAATTTTCACACGCGTATACACACTGTCTCGTGTTGCGAGAAACGACAAATTATAGTAAAACTGGAAAAAAAGAGTTTTTCTTTTTTTCCAAAAGTTTATTCATTGTTCGTTTCCCACCCCACATCTCCTTTTCCTGTTTCCTGTTATGGCCATTCGCTGATTTTTTCCTTCCCTAGTTCATTCAAATTTCCTGTCTGGAAACGATAAGAGTTTGTCTGCTATTTTCTCTGAGCTATGGCATTATCCAAGGTCATTCCGTTCAATCTAGTGAAGCTTGGTAGAGTTTTGCTATATTCATTTTCTTGATAAAGTTAATTTCAGGAGGTAACACGATTGCTATTGCGGACCTACGAGGCAATGATACTTACTCAAAAGTCGAGCGCATCCAACGCAACAAACTTGCGTGCTTGTTCCGTCTGGCAGATCTGTTCCAGTGGTCACAAGGGATTCATAATGAGATTTCGGTAAAATTCAGAGAATCTAGAAGCTAAATTACCAAAGAATTGTAGTATCGTACCAATGACGAAGAAAACAGCTTCTTGATGAATCCATATGGGCTTCTTTACCATGAAATCACCGCTGCAACCATTGTGAAAATCAATGAGGATGGGAAGATCCTGGACTGTGGATTGGTGAAAGCTGGTGTGAACCAGGTAATAAAAACAGATTCTAAAGATGGTAACGTCCTAGATTCAGCCTGCATTTCTTCTTCACTCATCAATTTACAAAGCTCGTCCAATGGTCAGATGCATTCTTCATATGCATACTGCAATTGTTGCCGCTGTGGCCAGTATGAAGTTCGGGCTGTTGCCACTTTGTCAGGAGGCGATGGTGATTGGACCAGTTGGATATCATGATTATCAGGTTAGAGATTCACTTGTTTTCAAAACTCAAAAAAGAATTTAGGACATTGGTGATGATGAAATTCCATTCGACCAGCTGATCGAGAGCCTTGGTGACAAAAACGTGCGTTTTTTTCTGAAAAGAGCTTTAAATCTACTTTTCCCAAGCTTCTATCGCTGTTTTCAGGTTCTTTTCCTCCGAAATCAAGGATTTCTTGTTGTCGGTGACACTATTGAGCATGCAATGTTTTTAGCCAACAATACTGTGATCGCATGTGAAACTCAGGTGCCTATTCTTATTCTAATCACATAACTCTTTCATTTTTTCTCTCTCGCGCGCACTATATCTTTGCTGCCATTTGTGTGTTCTCTGAAATCTGGTAGAGACATTTTTTGAAATTTTAAGGTTCTTCTAATCCGAGGCGAAGGCTGTTTTGTGGTTGGAGAGTCGGTTGAGGAGACAGCTATAATTATGCGCAACTTGGTCACGGCGTGTGATCACCAGGTTTTTGAAATTGAAAAGAGAATGACATGAGAACTTTGCACACGCAAATTGCTCAGAAGGGAGATGTAGAAATGGGAGGAGAGAAAACTGAGTGGGTGGATGAGAAACATTTCTAACCGGGGTCTTATTGAGGTGCGAGCTGCTCGGGCTGGACTTGACAATCTCATTATTCCGGATGAGAAAGCGATTCAGAGAGCTTTTCGGAATTCGAGAAACAGTAAGTTTAGATAGATACAGTAAAAGTCAATTAAATATGCAAAAACTTATTTTTCAGCTGACTGTCGGCCATTTTGACCATTTTCAAAAGTCCGGCGCTTGGCTATCAAATTTTTGATCATTTTGATAAGTTTGGAGAAAATAAAACAAATTGAAATGGAAAACTAAATTCACAGAGTTTTTCGAAATATCTTAGTTTTCAGATATTTGCCGATTTCTAGAAGACACACTTTTTCAATCCGTTTTCGTACTGAAAACGTGATAAAACAGGCGTCTTGCAGAATTTAGCAAAATGCTGAAAATTCGGAATATTCGAAAAACTCTGTGACTTTAAAGTGACCGGAAATTTGCTACCCGCATTCCCGACACATGAAAATGGTCAAAATGGTCAAAATGACCAAAAATTAACGGAAATATGTGTTTTTGAATTTTTTAATAACCGCTACTGTAGATATAAACAAAAAGTAATTTTTGTTTCAGCCAACTCTTTGAAAAGAAATGGAACTGTTGAATGGCGAGTCGGAGAACTAGAGTGGGAATCATGGATGAGAGTACTGGATCATGCGGTAATATAATAAGTTGTATTATAGTTTTGAAACAATTCAATTTATTTTCAGAACTTCCGAACTGGACACGTCTATCGTCAACCCCAACTTAGACCAAAGTCTGCAATGTCTACATCTATGGTGAACAACAACGACGTGGCACTTCCACCAACTACGTCAGCATACGGACAAATCGATGAGACAAACTTGGAGAGCGTCTCTGCTCATCGTCTCGCATTGTTGCGCAAGGAACAGGAGCGAGTCCGTTGGTTGAATAGTCCGAATGCATATCAGAAAGTGGAAATCATGGAGTATGGAGCAGATAATCCAAAGAAAGTTACCAAGGTGAGAAACTTATCTGACTTTTTCAAGAAAAAAACTAAAATTACAGTGGGTCCACGACGTTAACATCCCATCTGCAAGCGGTACTCCAGTCAAAATTAGCAGTGTTCACCAGTTCAGTCCTGCTTCTTCGAACCCTAAGGAGTTCAAAGAAAAGCAGCAGGCAATCAAAGAGAATAATCGTCTAGGAACTGTCACTCCCGGTCCAAAGAGTCAGATTTTGGATGGTGTCACTTATGAAGATATTTCAATTGTTATTCAGGTAATATAATACTTCCTCATTGTTAGAGAATTTTCGAGCTGTTTCCCAATATTCACAGATGTAATCCTTGCTTTTGCCGGGCCTCTTCTCCCGGACTTGGTTTCTTTTAAATTAAATGTTTTAGACCAAGTAAAATAGATACGATAGAGCTCAAAGAGTATTACGGAATGATACTGTTCGGAAGATTGTATCTTGTCTATGAACGAAATTACAGACAAAAGGGAACAAAAAAAGCAAGCTCCGGCCCTGCCCGTCCCGGCACGCCCATGCAAAGCCCCTATAAGGCCTGTAACTTTTTTAATAGACAAGAAACAAGGCCTGCAAAAACCCGACAAAGACCCGAATTAAAAATATGCCAATATTTTCAGCCAGACTCTGATGGTACCATCGGACAAAGTTCTTCATCTGATCGCGCAATTCTCATCGGAACCGCTAGCAAAGGAATCATTGATCGACAGTATCAACATCACGCTCAAGTTTATCAACAAATCTATGCACCGAACCCATTCTCCATTGAAACCGATGAAGATATTCGTAAGTATGTGGCTATGGTAAAAGCGAAGAATGCCCAAGGAACTACCCCTAGAAGTGTAATGAGCTATTCTCAATATGATGACGTGGAAGCTGGTTAGTTGTTCAAAAACAATCGAAATAAAAAATGTTTATTCAGATGCAGTATCGCTAATGCAAGGTATTAGAGAGCACAAACTCTCCCAAGCAGCCTTGAGTGCTTCTGACGATGGATTGAATGCTGGAATCTCTCCAACAAGTCAGAACAACGGTAAATTATTTGAAAAAAAAAATCAAAATGCTTCGGCTTTTTCCGGGAAGGACGGTCCCGAAACGGGACCGCCGGTCCCATCTTCGGACCACCGGTCCCAAAAATTGCGACAACGGTCCCATTGTTTCGACAACGGTCCCAATGTCCCGAAAACGGTCCCAACGTTCCGACAACAGTCCCAAGGGTACGACAACGGTCCCAAGGGAACGACAACAATCCCAACCAGGCTTAATCTGGAAACCCTATTCCCTAAATAAAAAAAAAACGGAATGGTCTTTAAAAATCCAGTGGGAAATTTAACATTTTTCTTATCCTTGGGAATTTCAGTACTTTTTGACAGGAATTTTTCACAAAATATTAAGTTTTTTGTATTGTAGGCTTAGGCCAAAACGCATTTTTTCCGACACTGATGTGAACAAGACGTTTCAGCCTAAGCCTATGATTATAAACCAAATAGACTCTGAAAAATTTCAGTTAAAAAGTATTGGAATTTTCAATTATCAGCAAAATGCTCATTTTTGTTGCTGAAATGTGTTTCTTAGTTGAAACAACAATTAAAATTCCCGATGTTTCCAATAGGGTTTTCAGGTTAAGCCTGGTTGGGACCGTTGTCGTAACCTTTGGAACCGTTGTCGGAACGTTGGGACCGTTCTCGGGGCATTGGGACCGTTGTCGGAACAATGCTACCGTTGTTGCAATTCGTTGGGACCGGCGGTCCAATGATGGGACCGACAGTCCCGCTTTGGGACCGTCCTTCCCGAAAAGAGCCAATGCTTCTTATTTTCTCAGTTCGCACTTCTCTTTCGTTTCTGCTTTCAAACCTATCCTTTTGCCTTCTCCTTTTGTGATTTTTTGATTACTTTTGGAATGCGTATTTCAGTTGATTTTCCAGTTCAAACCTCCGAAGAAAGCGTCAACACGTCGTATATGAGCCAGTCAGTTGTGTTCGATTGTAGGTTACCTTTTTTCCACTTTCTATATGCACGTGTGCTTTCTGTTTCTAACTTTCTAACTCTCACAGTCTATCTAACACTATGTACAGGTGACCCGTCTTTCCCCGTGTCAATGTCACCGATGTTAATTGAGAAGTTCGACGAGAAGCAGTGTCTGGAAGCGCAAGGAACCAGCGAAGGTAACAGTGTAAATTTGTGGTCTCTATGTATACCAATCAATACAACTTCTTGCTCTAAATTCACTTTTATTAACAATTAACCTCTTCAGGCACTACTACATCGCGATCCTGTACAACGGCGTCCGAAGAAGAGGTGAGTTTAATCCTTTCTTTTCAAGTGCTGAAAACAATCTAAAATTTTTAGAAAAAGGATGAGAAGAAAAAGAAGAAAAGAGGCCTACTTTCATTCATGCGCAGAAAGGACAAAAGAATCAATAATCAATAATACTCACACAAATTACACGAACACACATCTACCATTTTAATCCTATTCTTCTTCTCTCTTTCTCTTTTCTAGTTCTTTTTTGATTTCTCAATTTCCAGACTCCGAGATGTTGCGTCCAGTTTACCGCCAAGAAACATATGTCTAGTTTCCCTGGACCCTTTTTTCTTTCCCGTGCTCTTTTAATCACTCCGGTTGTGGATTATGGAATTTCCTACGCTTTCTTTTTTCTGACTGCTCCATGTCATTCTGTTTGCATATTCTTTTTTTTCCAGAACTTTTCTATTCTTTTTCTAATAAATGGTGGTTTATCTCATTGTGATCGTAAATCATTCTTTGGAATTTTTTTAAATCAAAACCGATAATGCTGAAAATCCTGCAAAAATGCGAGGAAAATCTTTTTGAAATTTTTGAGAAAATGAGGAAAAATAGGGGGAAAATAAAACAAGACTCCGTAAATCTACCACGGCCGCTAGCCTAGAAAAATTTTGGAAACTCTTCCATTCGATTTTACGCGGTTCTTTTAGAATTCAAATACAAAACTTTTTTCAAAAAAATTGCACTAGAAAAAATAGATAGCCAAAATTTGAACTGAAACTATTGGAAAATTGATGGATGTAAAGCAAATCAACAACCTGGTCTAACAATTGACACATTCTGATGAAAATTGAACAAACTGCAACATTGTGCAACGGAATACGAATTAACTTTCGAAAAAAAGAGAGCACATTTATTCGTTAATTTTTTTTATTCTTGGTTAATGCGATAACAATGAAAACGGCGAGAAATATCAAATACAAAATATTGGTCCAATGAGATCAAAAAATACTGGCAATTTAGACTTCATTTTGGTTTTTGTTAATCCGAGTCGCTGCTAGAAGAATGAACTATCTTCTCTGTGAAACCGGAACAATTTATAGTTTATACCTCCAGCCGTTTTTCTTACTTATGTGCTGTTCTACATTGTCCCCACGATAAGTTTTCACATCAGTTCCTTTTGTTTTTTTTCTGTTTAATTCGGAAAAAAACCGGAAATGGTATAGCTTGCAAATTCAGTCGTTTTTATCACTTATTCTTCTTAGTTCCGCTTGCTTATCAAACTCGTCAGGAATATTCTTCCGATTCGTCGATTTCTGCAAAGTTGGGCAAACTTATAGTTTTCATTCTAATTTCGACTAGTTTCTGTGAAAACTGATTTGAACAGAACAGCTTATAATGTCGTGTCGTTGAAGAGTCACGTCAACTATACAGTTGCGAACATTAGTGAGTGTCCCTCTATACTTTTGTTCATAACTTCGCTCAAACTTGTCCAATAATTAAGAACATTTTTGTTAAATGTAGCTGAATTTCCGGCAAAACGTTATATAAAATTTTTAAAAGTCAATTTTTGTGTCTTCTGAATCATCACAGACGTGACGATGACTCTAGAAGTAAAAAAAACTTCCGTCAGGATTTTTTTAAAGATTGGCTTTGTAATGAAAAATGCTTGGTGTAGATCAAATAGCCACCAAAAAAAATTGAAGCGATTTGGAAAACACTTGCTCTTGAGATGTGCTCACTGGAGCATAAAAGGTATGGTTCTGTAGTTTCCTCAAAATGATCCAAATTAATTTGATCAAATATTGAGAAAACGTGTGTCTTTAATTGTTCCACAATATACATACAAAATTTTGTACTTTGGGAACTAATAATTTTTTCATAATACATAGCTTATCTTCGGTACAAAAAATGAAAAAATTATGAAAAATTTTTCACCCAAAATACAAAATTTTATATGTATGTTGTGGACCTATTCAAGACACACATATTCTCAAAATTAGAGCAAATTTGAATCATTTTGAGCCGAGTTATAGCCAAACTCCAGAACAATACCTTTTATGCTCCAGTGAGCACATCTCAAGAGCAAGTGTTCCAAACCGCTTCGAAATTTTTCTGGTAGCTATTTGATCTACATCAAACATTTTTCATCACAAAGCCAATCTTTAAAAAAAACTGACGGATTTTTTTTACTTCTGGAGTCATCGTCACGTCTGTAAAGATTCAGAAGACACAAAGATTGATTGATTTTCAAAAAACGCATATAACGTTTTGACGGAAATTCGGCTACATTTAACAAAAAAGTTGTTAATTATTGGACAAGTTTGAGCGAAGTTATGAACAAAAGTATAGAGGGACCCTCACTAATGTTCGCCACTGTATATATTAGGGTGTTCAGTAAATAACGTCGTTTTTTTTCGTGCGCAATTTTCTCTGCGATGGCTCGTTCTGACATCAAAATTTTTTTTGCTTCTCACACACCTGATCAAGTCGTCAAAAATTCTTACCTAACATGTGTCATAATGTTCTCGGTTCTTCGAGGAGAAATAATGGAAAATAAGTGATTGTTGGCTGCTTTTTAATACGAACCCGTGCTCTGCCGAAATGCAACCGAGACAACCGAAAATATCAACAGTGCTTTTGCAGAAAGAAGTGCTAACAAAAAAACAGTACAACGATGATTTACAAAATTCACATGTGGAGATACACCTCTCGAGGAAAAAAAGGATCATGGAAGGAATTCTGAAGTGTGGTGGAAGGGTATCCGAGATCGACTGTCCGGGAACTTTTGGCAGCGCTTGGAGTCAGTATAGGAACAATTTTGAGGCAAATATAAAAAATTGAGAATACGAAAAAACTAGATAAATGGGTCTCTCATGAACTGAACAATTGCCAGAAATTGCACCGTTACTCTAGTTGGCGAGATCATTTCATACGATAGAAAAATGATAATTTTTCGGATCGAATTGTGACGTATGACAAAGAAAGGTTTCTATACTACAACAGAATGCAATCAGCGCCGTATGTGGTCAAAAGCCAGAAGGTACAACATCTCATAATGCCAGAAATTTACCAAAACGGGGTTATGGTGACTTTATGATGGCGAGCTCTCGGTTTTATTCATTATAACGTCCTGAAAAAATGAAAAACTAACATTTCGGTTCTGAATTGTCAAAAAATAGAAAACATTTGTTATCCAAATTGAGATCATCAGTCAAAAAAATGACACAATCCTACTCGATGACAACTCGATTTCACATGTTGCAATCATGACGGCTCAAAAACTGAATACGTTGGGTTACAAAATTATTAGTTATCCGACATACTTGCCGACATCTCCTCAATTGATTACCACATTTTCAAACATCTTGATTACCTCACCAGAGAAAACCAGTTCATTAAAGACGGCTATGTAAAAAAGGCTTTCCATGGTTTCGTCACTTCCTGGCCTTTTGGTTTCTATCATCATGTGATTTTCAAAACAGGGTATTGTAGGCAAAAATGTACTGATTCGAGTGGTACATAGTTTGTTTGATGAACATAAGTTTCACTGAAGTTATTTTCGTTTGAAGAGTGGTACCAAAAAACGACATTATTTACTGAACACCCTAATATATATAAACTTGGGCTTACCTTCATTCTCTTTATCTTTGTTTTCAAAACCTTTTACAGCTTCAATATTCATATTATTCGAGTCGACACTAGCGGCAAGTAGCACATCATCAATTGTGGCGTTGCCTGTTTCATTTCGTTCTCTCGGGATACCAAATCTATCGGCGTAGTCTACTTTTTGATTAGCATCCGAATGGCTTAAATAGAATTGACATTTTCGAAGGTTTGAATTGGGCAAACGTTTTTTTGACAAACATTTTTTCATTGCATCGAAAAGTGCAAAAAAAAATTGGCTTACTTTCTGAAGTTGGACTGCTTCTTGTTTGATTTTCATTACCAAAACGTCCGATTTCGTTTTGATGAGCAGCATAGAAGTTTGAAGACGAGCTTTTTGCATTCTGAAAAATTTTTTTGCATTCTGAAAAATTGGCGTTCATTTTCTAAAATAAACTTTTCGTTATAATGAATACGTCGTTATAATGAATACGGTGTTGATGCTGAAGGTTTGTGCTTGCCTTCAAAGTAGAGCAGCCAACTGATCAGAACACACAAAAATTTGACAGGTTATGAAGATTCATTAGACAACTCAAACTTGAGAAGCAATCTTAATGAGAAATATGCATGAAACGATAAAAAAAGAGGGGAAATGAAAATTAAAAAGTGTGGCTGAAGCAGACAGAAGGCCAGTCCTTCCTCAAAACTGTTATGACAATTATGAGGGACAAGGAGGGACAACGAAGGAGAGGAATGAGAGAACATTGAAAGATACAGACAGTGGCTTGACTCCTGTCTGTAGAAACAAAAATGACTCTAAATGTAAATGGCAAAATGACATCATGGAAAACGGTAATTTGTCATTTGGTGACTGCAGAGCAGTACTCGTTATATGAATCAAGTACACTACGGGGCGAAGTGATTGGGGGAAGGAGGAAAATCAAGGAAAAAAAGGATTTATAAAAAAGACGAATGAATGAAAATTAATCTGAAAAAAGAAATTAGAGAGAAGAAACCATCAACAAAAAGTGGAAAGAAGAAATAGTTTACATGTTTTATATTTCACGTCTATTGGGTCCTTGGTCTCTTTCTCGATGGCGACGTTGATCAAATGGCTCCTGTTGGCGACGTCGATCCCATCGATAATATTGGTCGTATTCTGTGTTCAGATCTGGAGTTGGTTGTCTTTCGCGTGAGTCTTTGGGTCCACCTGGCGTGAAGTATTTTGTATCGACCACAGTCTTTGGGATCCTGCAGAGTGCTGAGTTGTGGACCTCTTCCTTGCAGTAGTAGCATCCAAAATCGATTAGGACACCGGAAGGACACTGGTGTCTTTGTTTTTGGAAGGATGGTAGGAGGCATTTTTGGCATAAGCTGTGTTGTCTCAAGCGCTCCCAGCGTGCATCTGCCGTCCTGAAAACTGGTCACCTATCCGGGATGTGTCCGTTGCCGCAAAAGCTGCAAATCTTGGACTTGTCCTCAACTTTAATCCTGGCCAATTTCCGGATTGTTGTTGATTGTTCATTATCCGGTGGTGATCTTTCATCATCACTTTCATCATCCGGTGTGCCTTCTTTTGTTTTGGCTTCTAAAACACGGGGATTGGTTAACTTTATAAGTTTCAGCCAGTTTTCTAACTTTTTCTCAAAGGTTTGTCGTCATCACTAGAATTGTCTTCTTTGGAAGTGACTGGTTTTATTTTCATGACTTCTGCAATATCAGGCTAAGTTCACTTTACACTATTAGCAATTTCTCTTACGGTTTCCCTGAACTGAATTGCTTGTTAATGCCCCATAGGGACAAAATCTTTTTTTTTTCGATAGAAAACGTCGATAGAAAATTATTTTCAAAGAATGTTAACAAGACTTACGACCATGATTTCTCGCCTTGTTTATTGCGATCTTGTCGGTTCGTTTCCTTTGGGAGAACCATTGTTGAACCTGCAATTATATTCATTTTTCGGTGTTTTCGGGAATGCACTCACTGGTATTCTTCTCATTTTATGTTTCTCCGATAGTTCTTTGTACACGGCTTCTTTGTCAATTGAATAAGTCCCCGCTTCCCAAAACTTCTCCAAATCTTGAAGGCAGCTCGCGGTCAGTTTTGATCTTGGCTTTAAAAAATATGTTAAACCGAAAAAATGACTATTCGTAACTTACTCTTCTTTCGCTATAATTTCTTCCGCATGTGGAAAGCCGTGGCTCTGTTTCTGGATCGCGTATTCCCATCGTCGAATTGATATGTTTTTGGTGTCTTTCCGACTCCAATGCTACTCTTATTCCAAGCCATTCAAGCACCTGAAAACAGCGACTATACATATTATTCATAAAACGCCTGTCTGTTTCCGTGTCAGTCTGTGGACTTTGGAAAATCTTGAAAAATGAGTATAGATTTACGTGACCCTTTAATCAGAAGTGAGACGTGGAGCGACAAACGAGTAGAAGCTAGATTGATTCGCGCTAAAGGCGCACCAGCTAGCTGGTACATAAACTTTTATGTAAACTATGTTCAACAGAAATCTGGTCAAAATTGAATAAACTCACCAGTTCTGAATCCAAATCGATCACCTCCACCAGATCATCAAACTCTCTGATCTCATTATTGTCTGCATGAACTTCAAAGAAGTCTTCAAGAGGAATGTATTTTCTTTGAAGTGCTTTCCAATCGCGTTTCTGAAACAAACGAAACTTCTAATTTTTGCGACTGAATAATCTACTTACCGATAAACCGTGTTTTTCAGAGTTTCTCATTGAAAACTTCATGTGTTTGTAGTCGGCTAGGTTCTTTTCGAATTCTGGTCGCGATCTCAGCGAATTGCTTTTTTTTTTAACTTCTTGGCGAGCTAAAACTTTTTTTTTCAAAAATGTGCAATTGTACAACTGTTCATACCTGTTCGGGAGATATGTCTTTTAACTTCAATTTCTCAATCAAATACTTTGCATCGTCCCTTGATATGTTTGGATGCTTTGCAAAGCATCTCTTCAACTCATCAGTCCATTGAATTGACGGTTTTGAGCCGTCGCGTTCAGGAACCTGCTTTCCGGCCACATGATCCCTTTCTCTTTTTGAGTAGATTCGGCGTCTGATCTGAAATTTTTTTCGTAAATTCAGATGCAGAGACTCGGAAAATGTTACCTGTTCACCAGACAGACCAGTGTCCTTTTTAATTTTTTTCAGCATTTTCCCAGTGTATGAACAGAGCTGATAGGCGTTTTCGAGAACCTCAGCCCTGACTTTCTTAGGTTTGCGCACCACTTTTGCTGCAGTTTGCAAGTCATCCTCCATGTCAGACATTCTACGCTTGAAGAAAAGTTTTTCGATGAAAAAATTCTGAAAATACACATTTTTCAATCCGTCATCATAAAACAGACCAAACTATGGGAAAGCAAGGGATGCGAAGGAGCAGAAGAACAATTTAAATTCAAGATTTCCGGGGGGATTTGATCCAGGAAGCAACAAACGAAAAGAGTGCAATAATTCAGCATTTTTCTAGTAAGGTAGATCATGATTATAACAAATGACATCGAATATGAAACTCATTTTAATTAAAAGGTATGCATAGAATGCGGAAACTCTTAATTTGGCTGCGAAAAATTATAATTCTGAGTTTTTCAAACAAAATCATTTGTGCGCGTTTACGAACAACTTCTTGGACAATTTAAACGTCCTTTTCCACATCCTTCGAGGTACAACAAAAAGGTTAAATCCAAAGCGATGTCTCGGATTACAAATTCGGTGGATTTTTCAAATAGCTAGAAAACTGAGTTTTAGATTGAAAAAGAAGAACATCTTGTTTCAACGAAGTTCTAACTCTAACCATCCATACAAATGCGCTCCTCCCAACAAACCAGTACTTTTTGATTGTGTTTTGAAGAGACCCATACGCCTATCAATTAAAGCTAAAATCCTGCAGACTCTGATTTTAATGACGTTCGACTGATATTTTACAATTTACAATTTAGATTAGTTTACATATCTACATTTGTTTTTTATTGGAGATGTTTTTATTCAAAGTTTCCAAATTTTTTTTTCAGAATTTAGCCAACAAGTTTTTTAAAAAATAATGTCAAAACCTATCTATCAAACCAAAATCTTATCATTGCAAAAGTGCTGATAATTTATAAAACTTTTTTCTCTGCGTCTCCGAACAAAATCTATTATCACCAATAGCACTGATAAGAATGCTTTAATTCTTCTTCGATTTTTTAAACTGCAAACAGAAAACTAGCAACATTTACGCGAATGAATTATGCCAACAATAACACATTGGGTTGAGCAGTAATGAAAATATGTGTCAACGACGAGTCCTCTGTGTTGCCATTGCGACCCTGCCAGAGTGACCTATCTCTAATCCACTGAGAGACAGAGAGAGAGAAAGAGATTGCAAATGACCGATACGCACACACACATACAATACATAACGTTGTCTTCTTCGCGCGGCCACTCTGCGCGACGGCACGGCAAGGGCCGTGGCCGATCATTCTCTGCGCGTCCCCCAGAAATCGCGTGTGCGCGCACACACACAACGTCTTAGTATTGTTAGGTTCTTCCCTCTGTTTCTATGTAATTATTCCAATTTTCTACTAGTATTTTTGTTGAAAAACAGTTAGGGATTTCCAGTTGCTCAATCATGACTGAACCCGATTTGGAATTTGAGGACATTTTCAAAGAAGTTTGTCCAAATGAGTAAGTTTTTAAGAATTATTTTTTTGACGGAATTTTTTCCCGAAAACAGTCCTTTTCTTGAAAATAAAAATAATACAAAATTTTATAATTTTCCAGGTACAATGAATTTGGATTGAAACGCGAAATGCGTTTCATTAGTGAACGCATTATTGTCGAATATGACCCCAGTGACCATCTTTCGGTAAGTCCCCTCCATTGACACAAAAAATCGATGATGCGCTGTGTTTGCAGGTTCGAGAGATTATGCATCCGATGGATGCGTTCCGAAGCTATGAGCCATATTTTAAACACGAGTTAGCTGACAAATCAAGAAATGAATATGTGACGGCTATCGACTTTCATGAACATATCACTTACTTTCCATATGCAAAGAATACCGGTGACGTTTGTCTTGCTCGGTATATTAGTAATTTCAATGACACAAATTTGTAAGTGAACTAGAGAGCTGTGAAATAATTACGAAGACATTTTCAGCGCCAAAATTAGTGGACAACATTTATTTGCGTTGCCGGGTGAAACAATCTACGGGTTACGCGTCGGACGTCTCGATAAGGGAATGGTCGCTGTCAATCATCGTACCGGACCTTCTGTGTGAGTTTTTCAAAAACAAGAGAATTGTGGACTTTGCTATTGAAAATTTGAACCGTCTGACTAAGAATAGATTATGTTGGCAGAGCTACGCGGCTGCAAAGGCGTTTTTCAAACAGCGGGCGTCAAAAAAGCAATGTTCTCCAAACTGCTGACGTTCCCTTTTCAACTCATTTTAAGAAGTTCGATACTTTGACACCCAAAATGAACTTAAAGACTGATGTTTGTGTTTCAGAAATAGCACAGTGACCGTCCTCGATCTTGTCAAACCAACTCGCAATATTGCCTTTTACGATTCAATTGCTCATGTAAATACTATTGACTGGATCTGGTAAGTCCAACATTCGTTTCTATCCCAATTTCATAATTTTCTTTTTTTTTCTAGGCACAGCGCGTTTCTCCTTGCCGTCGGAGATGACCATGCACTACGCATCATGGATGTTCGTTGTCCGAAAGCTTTTAATGCAGTATATTTTCAAGGAGGAGTTCAAAGAACCGCTTTGTCTTCAACTCGACCCCTGGAGATTGCTTGCTGGGACGGGACCAACGTCCTTTTGTATGATATTCGCCGTCCAGACGTGCCCTGTGCCACGTATGATATAGGACTCATTGAAAACGAGAAACTTAATGACATGAAGTTCAATCCGTACATTGCTAACGAGTTATTTATACATACCAATCAGCATAGAGTGTTCGCGATGCAAATCAATCCTTCTCGATTGCTAGGAGGTCGAGTTCTTGGAGAAAAACCGTACGACAAGTGGCAAGTTATCACGTTCAAACATATTGACAGAGGATGCACATCTACACGACATTCGAGAAAAGACGGGAATTGTGAGTTGAATAGCAAGTTCTTTACTAAACATAGAATTTCAACAAACGATTATAACTTTTTTCAGAATGCCAATTGAAAACGCTGAAGTTCCACTTTTGGATTATTACCAGCAGTACGATGCTTCCAAGGCTGATGAGGAGGTGCCGGTTCCGTCTCACTGGAAATATCCAGATGGAGTGGTAAGTTTTTCTAACCCAATATGAAAACTTTCACGAAATTCTGTTTCAGGACGACACTGTCATCGACCGAGTCAACGAATTCGCCGAGATCGACTTCGAAAGTTACCTGTATAAAGCAGTAGAGCGAGTTGTTGCCAGTTATGATTATGTGCTAAAAAAGCCAGAGATTCTGTATCAGTGCAAAGGAGTGGACACGTTTGATTTTGTGTTTCCCGGAGTCAACGGTATTATGTGTTTCAATCGCAGTGATCATACATACAAGATTGTGAGAGTAAGTAGTAATACGTTTCATAATTTGTAGAAATTCTAATATAATTTGTAGAAAAAAATCTCATTTTTTTAGTCTCCAAAACATTACGAAGGTAGTATCAACCCGTATTCTGGCTCCGATTCTGTGCACTTTTATCGCGGACTCCAAATTCAAGAAATGATCCCAGCGCAGACGTTAACAATGATGTGCAATCGCTTGGAAGCTGGTTGGAATGCCTATCAAATCTCAGAGCGGTGTTTGAAAAGATTGGCATTTAAAATCACTGATGATTCTCGTGCAATATGGGCAGACTGGCTTCGAAACTCGGCTGTTATTCAATATGGTGGAAAAGGTATATTTTTTGAAATGGAGAGATTACTGTAATTATTATTTTCCAGAGTTTTCACCTATTGGTAGAAAAGGAGCGAAGTGGGAAGATTTCGTTGACCTTCCGAATGGGCCATTGCCAGAACCGGAAGTCCTACCATACGAAATTTGTAAAGACGAAGTGGCTACTGAAGAAGCCTGTCAAATGATTGCACCGTTCTTCCGTCTGTTCCTTCCCGATCCTCGGCCTGATATGGATGATGAAACTGATTCGGAAGATGAGATGCTAGATGATTCAGCCAAGTTCAATAAACCAGATGAAGAAAAAAAGGAAGACGAGGAAGAGGGAAAAGAAGAAAAGAAGGAGAAAATTGAGCAGGAAAATGATCTAGAGAAGGACAAGGAGAGAGATAAAGAAAAGGAAAAGGAAAAAGAAAAAGAGAACAATACTGGAATTCCTTGCATCCCAGAAGACGAAACATTCGATATGAGAACTCTGTGCAAGTGTCATGCAAAAATGCGATATTACAACAGCAAAGAGAAGAATAGGAGATTCATGTACGCCCCGATTGGTAACACATTCATGGTAGCTGCAAGCAAACGGATTCGGAAGAAGTTCTTCGGTGTAAACTGGCAGGAATTTACCAAACGGGACATAATCGAGCATCGTGTGGAATATGATATCGACAACTACAAAGGACCAACTATCAAACAGCTCATCAAGTTTCAACGATGGAAGCCTCGCTCATTCCAGAAAAGAGTGCTCCCTCCGAAACTGATCACAGACTCCTCATCAGTTTTCATGAAACCCGAATACATCAAAGAACGAGAGCAGAAAGAGAAAGAGATGAGAGAAAAAGCTGCAAAACCAATTGATGCTCCTGTTGGATTGTCCTTTCCGAAATCTTCAAAACCAAAAGTGGTGCCAGATGTAAGCGGAGAAGAGGATCCTGAAAAAGCTCGATTTTTGATCCGTGCTGCTATTCAACTAGGAGAAAGTTCAGATGATGAGCCTCCAGCTAAACCAACACAGCCTGCACCAGCTCCAACCACTGCTCCATCACAAGAGAGGCCTCGAACACCTCAAGCCCATTCCTTGAGAAATGAAAAAGACGATTTTGAGTACGAAACTGCGGAAGATGCCTATTTCGGAATCAAAAAGAAGAGAATGTACGTTGTCTATCAACCAGCGACAAAGCCATTAGCTCTGAAAAGATACAAACCTGATCGTCTGTCAGAGCACACTTTCATCACGCGTCTTGAACATTTGATGTATTGGGGACAGCGGAAACATGAACGAAAAATTCTGTACGGAAAGTATAAGGAGAATCATAAAAAGCTGTCAAGTGTGAAAGAGAGGAATACACTGGATTTAAAGGTTTGGGAATCAGCGTTTTTTTTCAAATTTCAACTCAAATGGCTTTCAGCTCGCGCTTACTAATCACCAGAAGGTTGGATGGCAGACATTCTACGACAAGGACTTTTTCTTCTCCAACAAATGTTCCTATAACCAAATTCTTCGGAAAGTAGTGCAATTCTACAATCGAATGGGTGATTGGGGTGTACCGAACAAAGAAACCTTTGTTTCGCATCAACGCTCGGTGAGTTCTGAAAAAAAGTGCTCTAAACAAAATTATCATTTTCCAGTTATTTGGTGTCAAACCAAAAATTCTGGAAAACTTTCCAATTCCATGTCTTTCCATAAGTGATCTCTCGATAGAGGAATTGAGGAGTTGAGAAGTTTTGGCCCTGATCCTGATTTTGTTAGCATCGATGAGACTACTATCGGAACTTACAATAAATTCATGGGTCACCTGCAATCGCACATATCCTTTGAATATGAAGGTTACGTTTTTGATGAGAATTACGAAGGAGATGTTCCATTCCGAATGGATTGTCGGATTCCAGAAGAAGTGAAAAAGCCAACAGCTCAGTACAATCCAAAGGACAGGTTTATGTTCCCAATGGGAAAAATACGATTTTGCGAATACCCTATTGTAAGTGTTGTATGGCCCTATCTAAACGTATGAATAATTTTCAGCCTCCAAATTTCATGGAAGAAATCGAAAGAAGGCGGGTGGCAGAAGAACCCAGAAAGTACAAATCTTTCTACTTGGAAGATTACAAACTTCCTTCGGACTCTGCAAGAATTGATTACTCTGGCCTTTGGAAATGGAAATCATGTCCCAACTTCCGCGTTAAAGTCACCAAAAAAGAGTTTTGGGAGTCTGACAATGAGTTTCCTGTCCATTTGTTCGATCGATTGATCAGAGAAATTTTGCTGGAAGCGTCCGATAAGAACGATGACACTGTGAACCATCTTGAACCTGAGTTTGTCGAGAGAAACATCTCAGATGAGCTTCTGCATCAATTCGGGTTCGAGACGTCTCAAAACAACAAAGCTCTCTCTACCAAGCTGTCTCGGATTGCTGAATACTTCACCTGGGATTCGCCAATGATTGCTGACACTGATAGGGAAACGGGCAAGAAGTTTATGAGAAGAGTTGTCCCTCTGAAAGAACCACAACCACCTCGACAGCTGGAAGGAGTTGATCCGTTATTTGATTATATCACAATTGACGTCATGTTGGCTGCAACCAAAAATCTGCACATCTCTTACATTTACAATGATCCGATTCTCCGAACATGGCCTGGCCTTCAAATTATGGATGGGAATCGGGACGACATGTTCGCTCTGAACGGAAGTCGTCCCAAAAAGATTTGGGATTGCAAACACACCCTCTTTGAGCCACCGCTTCAATTGCCCAAAGAAAAATCCCAGCTGTACAAAACCTTCTTCACTGAGACCATTCTTCTTCCCAAGGACAAAAACATAAATAGAACTCGAGTTCCAATTTTTGAAGAACATAGTTAGTTCAGAATTTCTTGAATAACGTAACTTTGATTTTTTACAGGCATCAACATTCCCAAAGGTCTGCTCGAAATGATGAATCCGGCTTTCTTTGGTCTCTTCGAAAGCGCCTATGTGAATCGGTACACCACAACCGAAGAGGACAAAGTGAGAGATAGAATAGAATTGCAAAATGCCATACTTCAAGAAAGATTGATTTTACTCCGTCAACCAGTTCCCGAGGAAACGGAACTCGAGTTAAGATTAGCGGAGGAAGAGTTGAATATGGAGGAAGATGACTTGATGACAACGGATTCAGAAGAGAGTACAATCGAGATTCGGAATAGTAGCGACGAAGAAATTATGAGTGAGACTGTCTCTGACGAATATACTGATGAAGAGTACACCGAGTCAGAAGTGTCCGAGGAGAAACAGCAAAATGCGGATTCTGATGAAGAGCAAGAAGTGGAAGTGGTCAGCTTTGCCCATTTGTTCAGAAACATGAAGGGTAATAAGGAAAACGGAGAGACAAATCCCGAAGACGACGATCCTTCTCTCAAAAGGAAACTTGGAGTCAGAATAAGTACATACGTTCCAGTCATGCGCTACAATCCGCATACTCGTAGCAACATCTTGAAGGAGGAGATGGAAGAGCGAAGAGCATACGAAGAAGCAAAAGAGGCGGCTCGTCGAGAAGCGGCTGGGGAAGTCACCGAAGTTGTCGATGTTACAGATGAGCAGCCTGAGCAGCCTCAGGTGGTTAATGAAGTGGTCGATGAAGAGCTTCTAGACGAGCAAGAAAGTTTAAGCTGTCCGTTAGGCACTCCAACAAAAGAGAATAGCGGTGAAAACAGCGAGCACAACGAGCACAGCGAGGAATCCGACCTAGAAACACCCACCAATCCAGTAGAGCCTATTGAAGCTCCTGTGAAAGAGCCGAAAGAGGTTACATGGGGAGAGGTCACAGAGCATCCGATATCTCCTCGACCGTTCAAGCTTCATGGTCAACACTATGTTGAAGTGGAACCCGATTTTCTATTCGAGTTTTACAAATACCAAGAAACCGGCCTCATCACTACTGACGGTTCAGAGGATGAAGAGGAGGAGGGGAAATTATCGCCTGTACGCCGGACAAGCGAAGCCTCTGTTTCCGTGCGTTCCAAAAAGTCAGCTCGAAAAGTAAGTTTGATTTTAATCTACTGAAAATAACAAAAAGTAATTTTATTATTCATTACAGAGAAGCATTGATTACCCTCGCGTCTATAGCGTACCTGCTTGCACATATTGTTACGATGAGCCCTGGCCAACCAGAGAGGAATGTGCCAATTGTTTTCCAAACGTGAACATCTACAAATGCACGAAGATTGAGAATATGAAAGTTCCATGCTACAACTGTGGTCAAATGATTTACAAGTTTTCATGTTACAACTATGAGCATAATTATGAGTACACCGATCCGCTTGATGCGCTTCTTGAAGAATTTGAAAAAGAGCCAGAAGACCAAGAGATTTTAAAGTTGATTGCAATTCCTAGGAAACCGGTGGAGCTCGAACAGACTCCTGCCATTTGGTCACAAAAGTTTTACAAACCGGGAACTTGTGCAGTGGAGACTTTTCTATCAGTAAGCTCAAAAAACACAAGAATATCCTTAAATACGGGTAATTTTTTTTCAGAAATCAAACGACGAACAATTCCAAATGTCTCAGATGGAGCAGGTGTCTGAAATTTTCCATCGAGAGTTCCAATGGCTGACGTGGCGTATGGATGATGACAAAGCGGAGAGAATTGTTGTTTCTGAAGAGTTTGACAAGGCATTCAATAGAGACGCTGATGTAAGTTATTCCGAATATTGCTCAAAAATCTAATTCCTTGATTTTCAGATTGATATGATGCGTGACACCATGAACACTATCAGTCAAGACGGTGAGATGGACATGATGACTACATACGATCAGCGTACTGGAATGAGAGTTAGACGTTGGATCAGTTATGCCGCCCTGGCAACTCGTGTTCAGAAACAAGCGGAGAAAGCTCGTTATCGTAAACAACTCGCTGAAAAAGAGGCTCGAATCCTAGCTGGAGAGGTTGTTGTCAAACCTTCGCTATTCAACGAACTGAAGAAAAAGGCCAAAGATAAGGAGGAAGCTGCTTCCAAAGATGTTGTGGTTGATGAACAAGCCAAGGCAGAAGAGCGGCGTAGGCAGTACCTCGCGTGGAAAAAGGAGCCGATTCCAAGATTCCCAGAGGATACGAGAAAGATCATGCCAGACTTCAAACTTCCAAAGAACAGAGAAGATTGGCTCGAGTCTTCTGGATCTGAGGATGAGCTTCCACCAATTCGATCTCGTATTCTGACCAGAGAGATGAAGCACTTCATTGCTACCATTCGTGTGCATATGGCTAAAAAACCAATCAATTTTGTTGGACCACGAGTAACTTATGGAAAACTTTTCGAGAAACGTCCTATTCTCAAGAACGATATTGTTCTTGTTACCAGAAAAAAGCCAGCAAAGCGAAAGCCTCCGCCATTCAAAGTTCAACGTCTCCCACTTGATCTCACCTGGATGAACCACGCTCTCACTGTGGAATTTGTGCCACCGCCACAACAGACAACTCTTCACAAAACAGACCCGCTCAAATGGACTGTTCCCTTCTACAGCTCTAACGTTTTGGGGCTGACGGACGAGGAGACAAGGGTTAGAGCTTTCCGCCCACCATCACCTCCATCCCGCATCAAGCAGCAGTACAAAAAGATGAAGGAGGTCGAACAAGCTTATTTCTCACAGAATAAAGCAAAAATTGTTGATGTAAGAAAAAAGGCAAAGAAAGCGCGTCAGTTGAGATTCCGCAAGAAACTTTACGGACATGAAACACTTCCAAAGAGAAATATAAAAGCTTGGACGATTGCCGCTCGTCGATTGCCACTTGCTGATAATCAACTACGGATTCCAACTCTCCCGGCGATTCCTGATGCCGAAAGATATATATTTTCCCTATTGGAACGAAAGTGGGAACACAGCCGTAAACTCATTCCAAGACTTCGAATGCGCTCTCAAGTGTCACCGCCCAGCTCACCTGAACCGTATACAGTAATCAAAATGTCGCAGGCAACAAGAAAGAAATACAGAAAGATGAGAAGAGAACAGAAGCGGAGGATGAGATGGCATGGGAAGTCAATATTGAAACCGAAACGTTCAAGGAAAGAGAGAAGAGATGCGAAGAAAAGAGAAACTCGATCTGTAAATTTTGCTCCGCAAGTAACCATCATCACGGTCCCAGAAATTCAAAAGAAAATGATGAAGAATCAGAAGGCTCGACAACAAATCTCATTGTCTTATCTGAGTCGATATTACGGCAGGAGGATTACTGAATTTGTGGAAGTTACTGATCAGTATGGAAGATTCCCAAGGGATGTGCCACTTTATAACACTTCCAAAAACTCTCCATTCACTGACTTCTTACAAGTAACACCAAAAATCACTCTCGTGGACAACGGCTATGTAAAAAAACCTCGAAGAAGCCGGAAAAGGGAGCCGAAGCGAACGGTGAACACCAAAGCTATAGAAGAATTTGCTCAAGAGGTTCGCAAAATGAAAAAGCGTTGTATAGAAGTAGAATCTGTGCCGTTGCCATCATCTCAAGTCGAATCCACACCAGTTCGAACCAAATCCTTACCAGCTCCATCTGAATCCACTCGAGCTCCAACCAAATCAACTCCAGCTCTAACAAAATCGGCACCAGCTTCATATTCAAGGAGCAAATCTACACCAGCTCCATATTCAAGAAAAAGACAAGTGAAGGTTGCGATTCCAAGATCGTTCTCTGTGGATTCTGCTTTGCGTCAATCAAAGCTGTTGAAAAAACTAGCTAAAATGCACAAGGAGCTGGCTCACAAGCAAAGCAAGAGATCAAAGAGAAATTTGGTGGAACATGTTGAACAGAGAGCTGATCCATCTTCAGAAAACCAATCAGAATCAAGTCTGGATAATTCGGATCGGACGATCACTGCAGTGTATCTGAATACGTGTGATCGGAATCACAAGAAGGTGAAGAAGGTCAAGCCTGTGAAAAAATTCGAACTGTCTATGAACAAATTGGAGCACAAGATTCAAGTCGAAGAGCGTCAAATATGCCACTCAAGCACATCGCAATCTAAACGTCCTCACCTGCCTCGCTGGCTACCGACTGATCACGAAACGGGAAAGTCCGAGCAGGAGTCTGAATCTGGCTTCAAAAACCAACACATGCGACCAAAACAACTTATGATCGCTCACAAACCTCTTCATCGTGCACCGACTCGGTCAAAAGTTATGAACGCTATTAGAAGAATCCAAGGAACGAAATACAACAACTTCATGATGATGCACGAGGAAGAAATGAAACCACAGTATACGGATTTGTTCTTGAAACCATGGCATCCGTTGCCAACTTTCCGATGCTTTGACCGTTTCACTGTTCCAAAACCAAGCGTGAAACCGGCCGAAAAGAAGGCAAAACCTGAATGGAAGTTGAATGCAAATTCAAAATGGGATTCAAGGTCAAAATCGAGAAACTTGTCGGAATATGTTTTGGAAGCACTGAGAAACGCAAAATTGAGAGAGCAGTGGGTTCTGGAGAACGCATACAAAGTTGAAGAAGCAGATGAGGAAATGGAAGTGGACTCCGAAACGAAATTGTCTGGAAATGAGAAGAGCGCTGAGAACATTGTACCATCTACATCACAAGTGGCATCGAAAACGAAAACTACAGAAGTAGAGAACAGCTCGGAAACAGACCCCACCTTGTCGAAGCCCTCATCAAAGCAGAAAAAAGTTTCGAAGTCGAGGCCAAAGCTAGCAGGAAAACTGGTGAAACTCAAATCTGGACGTGTGATACAGATACTAGGATCGGAAGACCAGAAAACAACATCAATGCCCGAAACGAAACGAGTGACATTACCAGAACGGTTAAAAAGGAAAAGAGCCAAAGTGATGAAAGCAAGAATGGCAATGTGGAAAATGATGAACACAGATACGCTGAAAGCTTCTAACAAGCATAGAACATCCCACCACAGGAAGTATGCCGAACCCGAAGTTATGTCATGGTCTCGAATGCTCCGGAAACTGGACAAGTCTAATGTCAACATCAAAAGAGTCCGATTGTGCAACTTGAGAAAACCGAAGAACCCAAGCGAAACGACCAATGATAAAGAGAATAGTCCTCCACAACTGCTGGAAATCGTTGTCGAGCCAGTAACCAATCTGAAATCATGTCTCAAACAAAGTGGAGCCGGACGTCGTACACTCCAGTTTGTTTCGGAACCCACGAATACCAAGGAAACGTTCTTTGGATTTGGTGGAACTCTCACATTGGTCAAACCTCCGTCGGAGCCCAGTTCTGCACGCGAGTCGCCTGAACCAACGGCGTTCCTTCACACACCAAAACCTTCACTCATCAAAAACCCATGGCTGAACGATGCAATATCGAAAGAAAAAGAGGAGAGGATTAAAGCCAAGGAACGTGCACTCAAGGAACAACAACTGAGCACCATCAGTGAATTGGCAAATCTCACGGACCACGAGCGTTCCGAATCAAGATCACCATCATCGCCAGTGACTATTCGATCCCAGGCAGCCACGCCAGAATCTTCAAGACCTGGTGATAGCAGTGATGAGGAAACGCCGACGCAGAAAGAGGTTGCTGCTCCAGCACCACCACCAAAAATGCCTGCAGACCAGCAATGGAGAGCGGCAATGATGGCAAGACGGTTTATGGGATCCAGCAAACCAGTGTATGCGCAAACGCCGAAAAAAGAAGAAGAACAGACAAAGAAGGACCCAATCGAACTAACAGCTGCAGCGATTACTGTCAAGCGTTCATCTGAGGATAGACCAGCGTCCGAATCTAAACTGACAACAAAGTCAACAGCTCAACAAATTTTGAAGTCACCATCAGGACAGCAGCCAGGGAAGTCACCGACGCAACAGCCAATTGAGTCACCAAGTCAACCTGGACCATCAACGGCACCTACTCTACTCACAAGAATGATTGCAACGAAAGTCACAACGACTAAAGGATACCAGGCACCGGTTTCTGTACCAAAAGCAACAGCACCACTTCCAACAAGAGGAAAACCTGCGCCTGTGCAATTCGCATCGGATTCTTCTGGAGATGAAAGCCCATGGAAGAACATTTCGAAAGAGAAGCCGCAACTCAAACCTTCAACACCCACTGAGAAGAAGGAAGAAGACAAACCCTCCTTCATTTCCAAAGCTCCAATAACAAGAAATACTCCTGGGATCACTGGTCCTCCAATCCCTAAGCCTCCGGTTGTGACACCAACAACTGCCGAGAAACCGGAATTCTTCAGAGCTCTGTTTGGAAAGAAAAGAGCGCCACCACCGCCACCCAAACCATCAGAAACTGCACCAGTGTCAATCAAACCAACGGAACCGCTCACAATCAAAACCAACGAATCAAAAGTGTCGCCACCAGCTCGTCCAAAAATCAAAAAACCCGAGACAGGATCGTTAATGAAGAAGTCTCCAACATCAGATGGCCAAGATTCGTCTCCAGTGACTCCGCCCGGAAAAATGGTCAAAATTGTGGATGGAAAACCAATTTTCAATGTACCCGTTTACGCAGTTCCAATGTCTGAACGTCGTAAGCGGAAGGAAGCTCAATCAAAGCCCAAAACAGATGAAGACTCCGACCAACCTTCAAAATCTAACCTCAAGCAGTCCTCTCCTGAGCCAGAAGAAGGAACTAGTGGTGGAAAGACGTCAGCAAAATCAGTTCGCTTTGGACAGACTCATTATAAGCATATCGAGGATGAACCAGAAGTGAAGCCAGTTGTCAAACCACCTCCAGAGACAACACCAGAAATTTCTTTTGAAGATTTGGCTGATGAGATGTTGAGAGAACAGATGGAGAGGGAAGCTGAAAAAGCTGCTGAACTGGCACAAGTTTCTCCTTCGAAACCTCCAACTTCTCCAAAACCCGTGGATGTTGTCCAGGCCAAGTCGAAATCCAAGCATACTTTCTTTGGATTGTCACCGTTTGGAAAAGTTTCTTTGAAAAAGAATGTTGGCAGTCTGGAAACGTCGAGCAACGAACCTTCCACTTTAACGCCATCCTCTCCTTCAACATCAATGCCTTCCACGTCACTCGCAGGACCATCGATCTCAGTTCCATCTTCACCTGGTCCGTGGGGTCCATCGACATCAACACCGACAGAGCCTTCGACTCCAGGTTCATCAAAACGAGACCCGACTACACCGCCTGTTTCAATTCTGAAAAATCCTTTCCCACTACCAGAGACATCACAAGAGAAGGTTGAGGAAGTGAAACCAAAAGAAGACAAGAGAAGAGTACGACCGCTCAAACCAACTGGTCCAACTCTTCGAAAACTTTCGACAGATGGAGCAATGCCAAAACCAGCAAAAATTCAACCACCTGAAAATCCACTTCAGATGGAAATTCTAGAACCAACCGAGTCAAGCGAACCCAGAATAAGAAAGAAATACTACACAAAAGGTGGAAAAAGGTACATTCCGAAGAAAACCGTACCACCTGAGGAAATTCGTGAACCAACACCTCCACCACCACCAGAGCCAGAACCCATTCCTGAGCCGGAGCCACTGCCAGCCGCCATGCCTCCTCCATTGGTTCAGGAGAAGCCACGATCGCGGAGAAAAAAGCATCCGAAGCCTGTCGAACCAGTGGTTCTCGATCGTATGGATCAATTCAGTCAGCTCACTGCTGAAAACTTGGTTCTACTACGTCGCGAGTTCAATGAAGGTCGCGAACCACGTGCTTGTGATGATACTGAGTCACTGATTGCTCATCCAGATTTGGGAATGGTGAAGCTTCTAAATCCGAAAGAACGTGCTAAGGAGTACAGAAGACTGAAAGATGAGCTGACGAACGTTTCGGAGTTCGATGATGCATACACAGCAACTGTTGATTTCAAAACCAACTTTGACAACTCGGTCATCACCAACCCAATTGTTCCAAGCATCAAGCCAACGTATGAAACAACACAGAGAAAATTGCGGCGGATGGCGAAAGATCGGAGAAAGAGAATCAAGGCAACTGGTGTACAATTAGTCTCAAAACGGCAGTCGGCCTTGAATGCCGTTCGTCAAGTACGAAAAGTTCGATTCTTCCAAACTCACAAAAAGAAGATGATGACTCCACTCCCGAGCGATTTCGAGTCGAAATCAATTTTAAAACCACCAAAGGCTCCCATTGCATGGTTTTATCGAATCGATTCTGATGGCAACAAGCGCTACTTGAACAGCTTTGGACCAAGTGAGTGGCAAAAGGAACAAGACGATAGGAAAAACTCAGTGAAGCTGGAATACACGTTCGAAAAGCAGAAAAAAAAGAAAAGCTACATGTGGTATTGGTTGCAACATGTGTACAAAATCAAGCTTTCGGATGTTGCCAAGGATGTTCTACAAAAAAAACCAAAGGACGTTATCGTTGAACTTCCAAGGCCTGAATACTTACCACCATCGAGATCACTATCTTCAGAATCTTGTTCGCCAACCAACTCAATAGATGATCTTTTGGAATCACTGAACGCTGTGGACATTCCACTTGCAGAAACGTCGAAATTGTCATCCAGTCAAGAGTTACTTCCAACATTCACTGAAACTGTTCCGAAACGGCAACGATCGATTTCTGAAAACGCTGCGGAAAATGTCAATAATCTTGGCCCACTACTACAGATCGGAGCTAGAGTAGATGATTCGCCATCCGCTTCAACGAATAACCTAAATTGGAGCGGGTTAGAACCTTTTGCTACTATGGCACAAGATGGATCCGAGATTCTGGAATATGTTGGACAGGAGGAGACTGCCACTGAGCCCGTCAGAAGACGATTTGATCAACTCACTCGACCAATCAGTGCACTATTCAACGCATTGAGCGGACCAGAAGTCGCAAGAGAAGCGGACAATCGGCCAACAACAGAGAGAACATTCAAAGGATTGTTCAGCAGATCATCTTCCCGACAACAGCTAGAATCACTTGACAGAGAAGCTTCAACTTTACAGGCAAATGAGAACAACGGTGAAAAATTTCCCGCTATCTCTCAAGGATCATCAGCAGAGGATATTCTTGCACTTATGCAAGATAAACCGGATGCATTAGAGCAGATGGAAGAAAGTAGAAAACCCGACACACCTCGTCAGCCGAGATTCTTACCAATCTATGGCCCACATCGACAAGGATCACCAATGTTCACGGAAAAAGAAATTTTGGACTACAGTCTTTATGATCAATTTGCTGAGCTGCAAGAACAATCGAAACATCGACAAATTTTGGAGTACTTAATGCATCATGATCCGGAGAACGAAGAATACCGTATGGCCTATTCACTACTTCTATCTGACGTGTCCGATGAGAAGAGTATCGATTTTGACGTGGACGCTTTCAAGAACTCCGATTTTCATATGTTCTCCGTCTTCAGTGGTTCGGATATTGAACGCAGGGAAGCAACATATATGATCGTCCAGAAAATCAAAAACTTGCATGAGAGACTGGAAAAGGCAAAATTGGCATCACAACTCAAATCACTTCCGAAAAGAGAGCTTTTCAAGCGAACTGCGAGAAAACCAAGAAGGATTCCAGTATTGTACAAGTTCAAGAGGACGTGCATCAAGTTCAGAGTGGAAATCACTCTCGAGCCTGATGCTCGAAAAAAGATGGAGTTACAGAAGAAGTTGAAGAGGCGTGCTAAGATGAGGATGATGAGGAAAAAGCAGAAGATTGTAAAAGCAATGAAAATGCTGAAGAATATGGGCCAGACAGGAAAACAGAAGAGGGACGAGGAAACTGTCAAGAAGTTGGACAAGAAGGCGGACAATAACAAGAAGAAGGACAGGAAAAAGAACAAGAAAAATACCGAAAAGAAGAGCCAAAAGACCATAGAGTCGGAACCCATCGTTGTTGAGAAGGAAACCATTGACGTAGCGAAGATAAAAAGCGAAGAACTAGATGTTGTATCGGATACTGAAGAAAAGAAGAATTCCGAATCTGACTACGACGGAGACACTGATGAGGATGGCACCGAAGATATCAAGTTAGAATGGCTAGCTGCGAACAAGCCAGTATCGGGGCTCCGAAATCAAAAGAACAAACTTCTCCGAAGATACTTCCAGTTCTCTGTCAGAATGGCAAGAAAAATTGCTCGTCGCGCTGTTGGTGGCCCCAAACCATTTGTGTTTTATGCATTCATCAGTAAAATTCGTGCTAGAATGCGTCAATTCATGGATATTCGACGTGATGATCAGATGAGAGAGCAACTCCAAGCGGAAAGCGCGGATTCTTTGAGGATTCAATCGGAGAGGATTCAACGACGCAAAAAAGTTTCACAACGAAAGAGAGCTAGCAGAAAGAGGTGTTTACCTATCATGATTCGTAACACGTTGAAATACGTAAGTAAAACATTCCGAAAATGACAACAACTAATTTTGTATGTTTCAGGGAACCACTACACCAAAGGAAGTGATTGTCAATGAGCCTCATTTCGACTTGGAAACAATAAGCACTAACCTCCAAACATTCTTCCAATGTCTCGACGAGTACATTGATGTGGGAACACCAATCAAGCTGATTTACCGGTTCAGAAATACACTTCTTCCGAAAAAGGTAACTTTATTTGCTTTTAAAATTGCATCAAACGATTTTGTTTCAGCTATTCGACGCTGGCAAAAAGAAAATGGTGGATCCAGTCATCTATACCTCACCATCGCCGTGTAACACAGACAGTGATTTCTCCGACTATACGCTAGAGAATGCCACCGCAAAAGAGAAACGGAAATTCTTTGACAGACGAAGTTTGGAGTCCACCTACAACGTTAAAGGTCTCCCTGGACTTATCTACTTGGCTCGTTTGGTTGAAGAACGCGTTGGAGAGGACATAGAAAGAAACATTTCATTTTGTGGGCCTGGAATCGATACTAATGAACATGTGGTCTTCATGACTCCCGTTCGTCGGCTCATGTTGAACTCTCTTGGATTGAGAATGCCGGATCGTGTGAAGGGATTCCATATTATGAAGCGCACCAACGAGCCATTTGAGAATTGGTTTTCAAAGCTGTTCAGAATGTTCTGCTACGGTCGTGGAGATTTAGTTCGCTTTATTTGTGATAAAATTGCACTTGGTCAAGGTCCGCCGAACAAGAAATACGATAAAATGGACATCTCCTACCAAGCTCACGTGGTTTATAAGTTGTACAAGAAGTGAATTTGAGAAAAAAACATGTTTTAGCTAAATATTCGACTTACAGATTGTTGTACATTGATAGTGGCAGAGAGGAACAGCTGGAAATATTCCAGTTCTTCAAAATCGGAATTGAAAACCAAGATGACGACGCAGAAGAAGGAGAAGAGCTAAGAGCAGACTTCAAAATCGACACATACGATCATATGCTCTATGGCAGTCCCAAAGCATGGACACAAGATGATTGGGTTGAGGCTGCTGACCAATTCCTCAGTTTTGCGGCCAACAAAGCGCATGTGGTGATTCACTGTCAAGCATCGATTTTATTCATGCGCATGATTCTCACTGGTGGATACTCACAAGACATAATCGATCAATTCGTTCAGATGGTTAGCTTTTTTTTCGCGAAACGTTTCAAATTTGCAAATTTTCAGAAGCTCCCAATTCGTGACAAACTCCTTTTCATCATCAACTTGACACCACCACAGTTCATCGTGGAAAACATAGTGAAAGTGTTCCATACTGTCCGAGGACTAGATCGCCTCCCATTTGTCGGATTAGGCTACCATGCTGACCCTCTTCGGGTTCTTTTCGAAGAAGCTGTTGAGAGTGGTGATCCTCAACTCATTGCACACATCGTTCGTGTTGGAAGATGTTTGGATCGTCGGTCAAGAGAGCCTATGGTTTGTTTCATTTTCGAAAATTATAAAAATTCAAAATCGACACAATGTTTTCGTAATGTTTCAGATGACCGATTGTGGTTCCGATCATCTGAAGAATCGTGACTTCTCCACGGTTTTCTCCAAAGTTCTTACCAATGACACGGCTAGACGACCATACGGAGCTCCAACTATGGATGAAATGTTCCCGTTCCGATATGTCCGTCATTCAGACGGAACTGATGTCACAGAGACCACGTATGTAGTCAAGAAAACGTCGTTAAAATTTAAGAAAGCCTTTTTTTCAGAGAAGAGTTGGCTGAAATGATGGAATGTGAAGTAACTCGCTATATGGCAATTTTGGAGCTCACAAAGGGAGCAGCAATCACAAAAGGAGATTTAGACCACAATCCAAAGTTCAACACCTATCCACACAGATTCTATGTAAGCAATTCAACCTTATTTATGTGAAATTAACAAAATATTTCCAGTTTAATATCCTTTGCACTGGATGCAAAATGAACGTCGCCAAGGCTCGCAATCTGGGAAGACTGGGAAGAACACTTTGTGTTTCAACTATGCCTCTCATCGAACAGGATAAGGACAAGAAAAGATGGCCAAATGCCAAAACCATGTCACCACGTCTGACCTACGAGAATTATATTGAGACGTTAGACCCTGTTGAGAACAAAATGTTGATGGCGAAGGATATTGAGGAAGAGAAGACTGACATCACTGTTCAAGTCTTGCCATCTCGCTTCGGATGCTTCGAATGTCGATTCTCACTTCCAAGATGTTGCATCTGTATGGTTCCGTATTTGAACGATCATATGGATTACTCTCTCAAAGAATACAATGAGAGATTCTCGCAATTCAGTATCTGTAATGTAAGTGTTTGGAAGAGAATTGTTTTTAAAAAATTATTTAATTTCAGATGTGCAACCACGGAGGCCACGTCAACCACATTGCCGAGTGGTTTGAGACTGAGAAGTATTGTCCGGTTGCTGGATGTGACTGTAGATGTCTCAGATCCAAACAGACCAAGAATCTGAAGGGCAGACTGCGTCGTCACATGATACTTTCTGCCAACATGCGCGCGAAATCTCATCTTTGCAATCCGGAATGTGCTGTTGAAGCAGATATCGAGGAAGAGTATCTACCGGACCCGGATATTGATTTTTTCAAAAATTTGTAAAACCAATTACTCACACTACTGTAAAAAAATGTTTGACAACTACTGTCTTTGTAAATTAAGTTGATATTGAGATATTTTTGTTTGTTTGTTATATTGATTATTGTTTGGAAATTGTTTCAAAACTAATTGTTCACGAAAATGAAGATTTTCGTTGAATACGGTGAAACCTTTTTTAAATTGAAGTTTTTTAAACTGATTGAATCCTTGTTGGTTTCACAAGGGAACTTCAACACCTCACAAACCCAGATTTTGAAGAAAATGTGAGGATAGGTTGAAAATTACCTATCTAGACATCTCTGAAAATTTCAGAAACCGCCCACCAGTATCAGCCGAGTTATATCAGTTTCAGTACCAACATTCGCCTTTTCAGTGCAAAAACAGCGTTTTCAAAGGCGGTTTTCTCAAGTCCTAGGACATTTCGAAGCATGTAATCTGTTGTTTTATACTTAAATTTTAATCAAAAAATATACTTCAAACTTTTTCTCAAAAACCACAATTCTTTTTTATTTTTGAATTTTTTCACGGTTTTCCAGATAACTTTAAAAATTGAAAAACAACATTCCTGAGAAAA